TCAGTTCCCAAACCTCTCCTCAGGGACACCTCAGCCATTCCATGATTTAGTTAAATTTCACCAACAGCTCAATTAATTAATTAGATAAATTGGTTTAAAAAGTCAGTGACAGATTTACTAGCTGTATGAGGTGTGCTAGTGGCCTAGTCAAAAAATACATGGCTGTACTGGATGGTCGCTTCAAATACTGGGGTGATTTTAGCAGAGATTCTGAAATGGCTAAGCTGACACACTTTGACAGGCATAATATCATAGTTTTACAGCAAAACGAGGATAATTTAAACATCATTTTCTTTGCCTGCCTAAGACTTTTGCAAAGTACTGTACATAAATGTACAGGATAGATACAGATACGCATATTAAGAAATACAAATAGATATACATATCAGCATGTCTCCATAGATGAGGTAGTGTCTGACAGAAGTAGTGAAATGGAGCTGAGCAGTGCATGGTAAACATAGTAGACATAAGGTGCATGTAAAATAGTGCAGATGGCAATTGATGGTTTTCTTGGTGCATAATTTAGGTGAATAAGAAGAGCTCACTCTTCAGCGAGTAGACAATTCAGGAGGTTAACAGCTTGAGAGAAGAAGCTGTTCCTGAGCTTGGAAGTACGGGCACTGAGACTCCTGTCGTGCCGGACTGCCCAAGGTGGGGGCAGGGAGTAGCCTTATATGAGTCATGTAAAGGTGGTCCGGTATTTTCTGTCCCCTAGTGGTGCAGGATACATGCTGTGGGAATTTGGGTAATACAGTTCTGAGGTTGGTATGGATGAAATCACCGCCTATAATACAGGCATCGTCTGGATGCTTAGTCTGTTAATTGCTGATGGCATGCTGTTGCTGCTTAAGTGCTGTATTAGCATTAGCATCTGGGGGGATGGAAACAGCAGCAATGGTGACGGCCATGAACTCCCTGGGCAGATAAATGGGTCTGTGCTTAAGTATAAGGAGCTCGAAATTGGCAGAGCAACACTTTCTAATGATTTTTGACATAAATACTCAAACCTCCTTCATGGGTCTTGCTGGCATCACCTGTTTTGTCAGTGTGGAAGGCTGTGCAGTCCGCTAGCTTGATGGCCAAGTCTGCGATGTTGCTGCTTAGCCCAGTCTGCGTAAACATTAGGAGATGGCAGTTTTCCAGCTTTTTCTGGGAGGATAGCCTAAGTTTTATCTCATCCATTTTGTTGGCCAGCGAACATTCACTGGCCATGAATGTACTTGGGATGGAAGGTTTGTGGGGATCGCTACTTAGCCTAGCATTTAGTCCGGCTCGCTTCCCCCTCTTTTTGAGCTCCCAGTGGGGTCAGCACTTCCACTGCGAGACCGGTGAGCGGAGAATGTCAGTGGGGAAATTTTCCGTAGTTGTGGTTGGGATGGTGTAATCCGATCTGAGATTTACAAGTTCCTGTTCCCTGTAGAAGAACTTTCTATTGACTGAGCTTGCAAATAAACTTGAAAATTACAAAACAAAGAAAACAAGGTAAACATTGCACAGTTCTGGTAGCCATAAAAGCTGCTGCGTACTATGCGCCACCATCTTGAAAAAAAACATATATATCCATAAAGACAATAGAATGTGAAAAAGTTACAGTCAGCAGGTATGTGACTGGCTGTCTGGGTGGTTCAGCCTAGGGGAGAGTTGTTTGTCCTGACCGCAGTAGGAATGAAGGCCCTGCCAAAGGTATAGACTATAGGTATTGAGTGGTATGACCTGTATTATGGCTTTTTGTATGCTGAAAATACAGCAAAAAGGTGTAAATGCTTGGTGTTAGATCCTGTGACTCATGTGGTGTGTGCAGACAATTCCCAGGATGCACTGCACACTGTAATTCATTTTGAAATTTAAGCTGTGCTGCTTATTATTCTAAAAGAAATGCTTGTCTTTTTGTTTTGTGTCAGTAGTGTTATCGGTAGATTGTGTATGTATCCGTGTCTTAAAATGTTTCTTTTTCAGACTGAACAGTTGCAATCTCACAGAGACATGCTGTGAAGCGTTGGCTTTAACTCTCAGATCAAACTGCTCATACCTGAGAGAGCTGGACCTGAGTGACAATGACCTGCAGGATTCTGGAGTGAAGCTGCTCTTTGAAGAACTGGAGAATCTACACTGTACACTGGAAATACTGAGGTCAGTCCTACAGTATATGAAAGGTGAAATACTAAACTAGTATTTGTTAGATATTTGGAACGCAAATTAAATCACAGACTATTGGTATTTGATAGTACAACTTGAATGCCCTCCAACATGTACACACAAAGCAGGAGAGTCTAGGGGAAGGGCTGAAGGATAAGCCACACGTGGAGTTTATTTACTGTGAGTTAAGCTCCTGTTTAGGTCTCTTTTATTTAGGCCTCAAATATTTTGAGACCCTCACATGCGTTTAGTGCTTCAACCCATAATGCAGCTGATGCAGAATACAAATTGTCTAAGCATGAACTGTGTCAAAACTTTAACATTATACAGTGTTTTTATTAACGATTGCAAGGCAAGTCACACAAGGGAACTGCTGCACTCACACCATTTCATTCCCACAAAGCAGGTGTAAATTTGAACTTATTTTTCACATCATTATTTTTAGAAATGAGGACATTCTGCATTATTATTCTGACTTATTATTGTTAAATTACTTGCTAGCGTCAGTGCATGGGCTGGACTCTTCACAGTTTCTTAGATCACAATTTCATTTTCATTCTCATAAATCACATTTACTTAGGTGGAATTATAATATTAGTTTAATTTGGGTTACTGCTGCATGAGCACGGAAATGATCCTACTTTTGCGTCCGCTTGCCAAAGCATCTCGTGCACATGTGAAAGTATGTTTATTTTCATTTTTTGCACTGGTCTCTTCAGGGGCTTCTTGGTCCATAGGTATAATAGGGGAGTGTAAACTTTAGACATCCTGTCTACGCATATTCACCTGCTGCCAGTGTTTTCCAAACCAGCACATGGAAGACTCCATTCTACGCCCTCTAATCGGCTGTCACACAGGATAAATTATATTGCTACTATTGAGAAGAGAGTAGTAGAAAACAATGTTGTGATTTCCTTTCTAATTTCATTTTGGCAGGCTGGCAGGTTGCACATTCACAGAAGAAGGCTGTTCTTCCCTGACTTCAGCTCTGAGGTCAAACCCCTCACACCTGAGAGAGCTGGATCTGAGCTACAATCACCTAGGAGACTCAGGAGCAACGCTGCTCTCTGCTGTACTGGAGGATCCCAGCTGTAAACTGGAGATACTGAAGTGAGTACAGAATATGCATTTTATACCCATCCATCTGTCCTTCTTCCAACTGCTTATCCTGGACAGGGAGCTTGGATCCCTATGCCGTGCTGTACAGAGTGGGAGGTAGGGTGACACCCTGGGTGGGATGCCAGTCAGTCACAGGGCACACACTGACACACGCAACAGGTAATTTATCATACCCAAGAAGCCTAAATGCACAATGGTGGGAGAAAAGTGATTCACTCTGCTGTTTCTGATGAAAACCAGCAGGCAGACTTAATCCCTGCCAATTATGGACTGTCAAAGTTTTTTCCTGGTAATTAATTAATACAAGGATTTGAGGTAAGATCCACTGATTCAGTCAGTGATCAAATGATTACAGTAAACATTTACTATCTCACCTCTCATATCATCTCAAATCACCAAGAGGCACAGAACACTGCACACTGGAATTCATTTTGAAATGCAAGTTTAGCTTTTGCTATGCTTAAAATCATGTTTCCTTTTCCAGACTGAACAGCTGTAAATTGAGTTGGGAATCCTGTATAGCACTGGCCTCTGCTCTCAGTTCAAACCCACATGTGAGAGAGCTGGACCTGAGTGACAATGAGCTGCCGGATTTAACAAAGAAACAGCATCCAAAGATTAAAAGGGAGATGCCGCAGTCAGCATTACTGGGTTTTACACGCTGTAAGCTGGAGGTACTCAGGTCAGTATTACTGGGTATCCCTTTCTGTAAATTAAATATTAAGGACACTTCACATAATGGCTCAATCAGTAAATCAGCTTATCCTGAATGCAAGCTGTCCATGCATGGACTAATACCTTAATACTGTGACGCTCACTTCTCGTCAACTCACAGGTATACCTTTCTACCTGTCGCTGGGGTTCATTCTGGCTTCGTTGTTATAAAGGAAGCAGGCGATGTTTATTGGGATATAATCATATAATTACTCTCCTTAAAAGTACAAAACTTCCCTGCTCGGCACTACACTTTTTCCTCTGCTCCCCGCTCCCGTGCCAACTCTCTCTCTCTCTCTCCTCATCTCACCCTTGCGCTCCATCCGCAAGCTCAGAGAAGTAGACCCACCTCCCCATCAACACAACATAGCCAAATTAAAGTCTTACATATACTCTCCTACCCAAAAAGAAATGTCCTCATTTCAAAAAATAAAAAAATAAGAAATCAAGAGAGAGAACTAACATTGCCAAAGATGCACTCACACAAGGGGACACGTGTGACAAGGTGGCAACACAGTACAAGCAACTTCAGTACTGGCAGTCCTAGGAACAACAGCCTGACAGGAATCAGCCAAAACAAAGGCCGTGGGGTCATTGCCCTGTGGTAAACTAAGGGCAAAGAACATCTGCCCCATCGAGCAGAACCCCCAAACATAATGCCAAAGCAGTCAGAGTTACAACACAGGTCGGAGTGTTGAGTTCCGTCAATAAAGCTGGAAGTCACGAAGATGGCTCGGCAGGTGGGTCTTCCGGCGAGGGAGAGTCAATGAGGACTGCGAAGCAGGCGTCAGGTCCCTGGCCTCCGATGACACGTCCGCTGTGCGCAGGGGTGGCGCAAGCACGTCAGGTACAGGGTCCACTCCTGGGGCCAGTCACGGCCCCGTGGGGCGTACCGGTGGCATCAGGCAGGGAGGTGGCGGTACAGGTGACAGGCCAGGGCCACGTGTGTTTGGTGCAGCAGTTGGGGGAGAGTTTTGGGTCGTGGTACTGTCTGTTTGTGGAGGGGATGTAGGCAACTGAGGTGACTGGGGGTATGGTACAGGCCACAAAGGGCAACGTAACCCTGAATCAACAGGCTAGCTGGGTGGCGTGAATGTAGTGAGAGGGTCAGCAGATGGAACAGAGTTGGGGTCGGTGTGATAAGGTTTGAGAAGGTTGTAATGTAAAACCTTTGGTGTGCTATTCGGCTGGGAGGGATTACGGATTTGGAAATTAACAGGGGGGAATCCATCCCTGATGGGTAACACCACATAGGGCCCAACCCAGCGGGGCGCAAGCTTATTGCAACGATGCGCCGGATCGTCAACTAACACCAGATCACCTGCCTTGTATGGGACATACCTCAGGTGTCGGTCGTAGTGCTGCTGTTGAGAGGCCTGAGCCTTCTCCCTAAATGCTGAAGCTGCACGATAAGCCTGGTCCAAACGGCGACGAAGGTGTGGCAGCGGTCAGAGGACTGTGTGTCCGAAACGCATCAATAGGGACCCTCGCCTCTCGGCCATGAGCCAGATAAAATGGAGTAAAACCTGTGGATGAATGAGTTGTTGTGTTGTAGGCCAGCGCTACCTGGGGTAAATGTTCATCCCAATCCCTACCGGAGTCAAAAAGGTACTTCGACAGCTCGTCCTTCAACACATGATTCTGGTGCTCCACCGCCCCATCACACTGTGCGTGATAAGGGGATGTCCGAAGTTTAGTGATGGACATTAAACCACAGAGGTGCTTTATAAGGTCCGATTCAAACTGACGACCCTGGTCTGAATGTAAAGCTTCTGGGACCCCATGTTGGGGAAGGTAGTGGTGGAATATACAACGAGCCACGGAGATTTCCATTTGATCTTTCAGGGCATACAGGTTGACAAACTTCGTGTAGAGATCAAGCATGACTAAAACATAGCAGTACCCTTTAGAGGACACCGGTAGCTCTGTTACGTCGGCGTCGACAATCTGAAACGGGTTGGTCGGAGAAATGGGGACGAGGGGGGCCTGCAAGCGAGGGATCGGGGAACGCCGGGACTGACAAGCCACGCAGCACTGGCAGTGACGGGCCACGTCAGACGACATGTAAGGCCAATAGAAGGAACGCGTAACCTTGTCAACCGTTTTCGCACGACTGAACTGACCGGACGCAGGGTGACCGTGCACCATGTGCAGGACCTTGGGAACAAGGGATCTCGGTACAACCCCCTGATGGCAGACAGCATGCCTAGCTGGACGATAGAGATGCCGGCATAAAATGCCATCACACAGAGAGAGACGTGGAAACTGTGACCACAGCTTCCTCAATGTTGGGGAAGCAGCCCGCAGACGCCACGGGGGGGGTCTTATGCCATTTTCCAACCAAGCAACCACAACCGCCAGATCTGGATCATCACGTTGGTGCTTACCTAACTCCAGATCGCTGTGTATCTGCATCAAGCCCGCAGTGGTGTACTGCAAGGCTCAACCCAGATAAGTGGGCGTTGTGGTGACAATGGGCTCTACTAGTGTAGCCCCCGGCTGCAGTGTAGGAGAATCTGCAGAGGTTTGAATGGCAACCGTAACACAAGTCTGGCAAGAAGCATCTGGGGGACAAGGTATGTCTGAGGGGACCTCTGCAGGGCGGCGGGACATAGCATCGGCGTTAAGGTGTTTAGCACCACCTCGATGGACGATGGTCCAATCATAAAGGTCAAGTTCCACAGCCCAGCACGCACATCTACCCGTGGGGTCGTGGTCCAGAGGAAGGTTTTTGAGCCCAGCTAGCGGCTTATGATCCGTCACAATCGTAAAGGGATGGTATGCCAAATAGTGACGGAAGTGCCGCACGGACCATACGACCGCATAGAGCTCCCTGTCGAATGTGGACCATTTACGCTCCGAGGCTGAGAGTACGTGACTGGCGTAAGAGATGACACGTCCCGTGCCGCCGATGACCTGGCATAAGACCAAACCTATCACGTGATGGGAAGCGTCTGTATGCAGAACGAATGGTATGGAGAGATCAGGGAAGGCCATGACAGGGGGGGAAGTCAGGGCCCCTTTCAAGGACCTAAAAGCTTCATCAGCCCTGTTGCACCATACGAATGGTACCCCTTTATGGGTTAAGCGATGCAAGGGTTCTGCAATGTGAGCATAATCTTTAATGAACCGTCTGTAATAGGAGCAGAGACCCAAAAACGCCCGTATGTGGGTGGCAGATTGAGGAATTGGCCATGTGGACACTTTGCGTGTGTTGGAGGGGTCAGGCTCCACTCCAGCACTGGACACGTGATGTCCCAGGAATGTGACCGCGGAAACGGTCAAAGACCTCCCGGAGGTGCTTGAGGTGTTCATCAAAACTGACACTGTAGACGATTATATCGTCCAAGTATATCAAGCAAATGCTCCAGTGTAAACCGCGCAGCACTAACTCCATAAGCCTCTGGAACAGTGTTAATTTTGACAGCAGATTTCAATTTAGTTTTAGTCATAGTCTTTTGACTAAAATGCAATTTTAGTTTTAGTCATATTTTAGTCATCTGTTTTGTTTTAGTTTTAGTCTAGTTTTAGTCGACTAAAAAGCATAAGATTTTAGTCGACTAAATCTACTGTAGATTTAGTTGACTAAAATATATT